CCTCTTCCCATTCTATTGAATGTAGAAAGGAATGCAAGATTTATGAAGCTAAGAAAAGAGAACAGAAGACAGTATGTGACTTCCTGGTCAGTGGTTAAGACACTCATGTGTGAGGGAGTGCTATGATCTAAAAGGTAGGCTGTTCTTGTCCCTCCTCCAGGAAGGTTTAATGTTAAGTACAGAAGCAGTCTTGAGGGGATGTATGCATTTTGCTGCTACCTTAACTAAGATGCCTGAGGAATGGATTTGACATGCCCCTGTTCTTAGTGTTTCCCTGCTGACTCTAGTGCTAGATGATTCCCTCTTTAGCTTGCTGGCTGTTTTGGATCAGATTGAGATACCTAATTCTCCTCATACACTGTCTAAGGATACACTGTCTCCTCATACACTAATACGATGCCTAAAAGTTAAGTGTTAAGCAACTTGTACTAAATTTATTCAGCATGACAGAAGTACTCCACCTCCACCTGAGTGGAGTTTGTCTTCTGTTGCCAGGAGCTGGCTAAAGGAGTTTGAACACACTCACGTGCCATTAGTTGGCTGCAAAGTACATTTAGCAGCTACTGTCTTCCCCGAATGTATTTCATGCTCTGGCAGTATATGCTATAGTGAAACCACATGGTATTGCCAGAAGTGCATGGATGTACACATGCTCTGGTGGCTTGGTGGTGATACCTCTCTGTTGTCAGAACTTCTTGCTGCCAGACCAGTAAGTGTGGATAGATGGCTAACTACTGTATTGGATCTTGCCCAAGTGACTATACTCAGGGACTACAGTAGCAACACTGATCTCCAAATGTCCAAAACATCCTGAGATGGTGGCAAGTTCTTTTAGCTCCTTTCCAGGGCAACAGGAATTGGTTGCAGGTAATTGACATGTATCAGGTTGAGGTAAAATTGTCTCGTCAAGTGCAAAGCAACACAATAATGTTGATTTGCAAATAGAAGTGCTGCATATAAAGCAAATTCACCTGTAAAAACGTTTTATGCAATGTAAAAGGAAATATGACAACATTCTTTAGTTTTAAAAACGAAATAGATTTTGCCTAAGCAGTATGTTTTTCAGAGAAAAAATTAAGTTACATGCAATAACATGAAAACATTTGCATACAAAATGTTGATTTCAAATACAAAATTGTTCTTAAATTATAAGAATGTCATATGCATTTTAAAAGTTAAATTTTGGGGTTTTATGTTTTCTAATATCTGGTGTCACAAGATGTCACACGCTTTATTGGGTGATATACAAAGTAAGCAATGAATTTCTTAGTGTGGTTGTGCTATCCTGATACAGTCAGGATAGCCTTTATACTCTGTTTTTTTTCAGAATCATTTTATCTACCTATGTTGACAAACATTTTAAATAAAATACTATTTTTATAAAAATAATTGTAAAACAGGAATTGCAAACTAATTGCTATTAAAATAAAATTTCTAGTAAAATATTAGATCTTATGCCCATGATGGGTTAAAATTGGAAGAAAAGACCAATCATTTTTCCTAGAATAACATTTCTATATATTTTGTCAGCACATAGATACCAACACAATAGCTGCCTTGGATTCACTATCTTGGTGGAATAAATTGCAATTAAAAATGAGTTTGTATGCAGAGCATTTTCCTCAATGTTTTGTCAGTTTCACTAATCACCGTATTGTGGGATGACTCAGTTTTCTGAAGGCAGTTATCTGAAACTTCGATGAAAAGAATTTTCACTTCTGGTAAT